GAGAGTGTTATTGTTTGATCGGTACTATCCAGGAGACCCTAGGGATGTCTTGCTCAATATGGAACTATATCCAAATTTAAAAGAGTATTGGATTGTGCTACACGGTCAATATTTTGCAACAAGCATGTTTTCCTACAATACTACCTGCCCTCAAAGCTTACAAAATCTTCAGATAGTGGTAAGTGAGGACATTCTGGTTGATGATTTATCTACTATTGGGGAATTTTTAAAACTTCCAGAGAAATTAAGAGATTTTCATTTTGTTGCATTTGACGCTCAGACGTTGCTTGAGAAATTGGTACTTCCCCCATCGTTAAGAGTTTTATCAATTCTGGATCATGCCTTCCGGACAGGACAGGATTGCGAAATGAAAGATTGGTCTGGTGTGAAATTCCCAGATTCTTTAGTACAATTGAACGTTGAGGTGCGTATACCGGAAGGTCTTGTGCTTCCAAAATCATTACATTCTTTGAGTGTATTTTCGGAGTATTCGCCTACATCTTTGAATCTACTTGAATTACAAAATTTAGTTCAACTTAAATTAAAATACCCTTGTCGCGAAAGTCGTGAATTTATATATAAACTACCAACTAATCTAAAGACTTTGTATCTATCTGGGGCTGAGAATCTCAATAAAGTGATTATTGAAGCACCGAATTTGCATCGAGTGAACTTAGCCTGGACCGGGCTTAAATATTTAGACCCATCCCATTTTCGATTACCCGATTGTGTTGAACTGCTTGCCATAAGGGTATATGAAGGTATCACGAAAATTGAGTCAAATGTCTTACCTGCCATGTTGAGGGAATTATCTGTACCGAAATCGCACGTAACTTGTGACAGATTGGATCAATTTAAATTTGCAAACTATAAACATCTAGAGAATTTGGATTTATATGGAAATGAAATCTCTGAATTGAAATGCAACAACTTACCATCAACATTGAAATGGATTAATCTTGATAGAAATCCAATTTGTTCATTTTCGAATCCTACAATTTTCTCTGACCTAACAAATCTAAAACACATAAGTATGGCATCAACCAAGATTAATGAATACTTCCAATCGGATGGAATGATGTTATACTTCCCATCATCTTTGATTAGTTTGAATTTAGCTGATAACAACCTAGAAGCTGGTGTTGCAGCCAAGTTAATATTTCTGTCGTGTACTCAATTACAAGAGTTGAATCTAGTTGGAAATCCAAAAATGACAGATGTTCAAATTGTTATCGACGCTATTAATTCATCGTGCCCAAATATGGTTGAGTTAGTATTGGATGATCTGCTTCGAGAACATGTTAGGGAAGATGGTATTGATTTCTTATCGTTCTGTCTGGTTCGCCCTCGGAGTTGGAAATAGGGAGAATTATGAACAAAGTTTCTATACTGTTTACTAATACGATAAAAAAACATTGCTTTGTTTTATATACCGTTTGTTTCACTCAGTCTTAGAAGTGTAGATGTTGTTGAGCTAAATGAATTTTCTTCGATTAGATGAAGATTCTATTTTCTTAGGTCCTTTTAGGAAAAATGTTGTTAAGGAGAATTTCGTCGTGATTTCTCCTCACGACGAAATTCTGATCAAGAAATTCTTCTATATATTGGGAGATTCCCACTTTTTCGTTTTATACAAATTATATATAATTGTTCCTTAGAGATTTTAGAGTATTCTGTTTATATATTTAATTTAGTTTTTTCGATTTTGAAAAGAATCTTAATGTTCTGCTAATGCCATTACGCGGCACGGGAAAACGCTAACAAATTATATGGTACAGCGAACAAATGAACTTCAATTCTATCGTATAAACTATTTTTAACATCATTCATGAACTCGCTGTTCCTTAATTAGTTTCCGGAGAATGCAATATACTACTACCCCATTGAAGATTCTATTAACTAAAGTGTTGTTATATTACAGTTTAATATTATAGAATGATTAACAGGAGACAATTAAGGAAGGAAAGCATTGGTTTTCTGCTTGTCAATCTTCCTCACGAAATAATACAACTTATATTTAGCTTTATTCCTGATGATTTTTTAGAAACATATATTGACATTCCATTTATTGGAGAATATGCTGTTGATATAGTTTATCGCTTTATTTCAATCATCGCTTCCCATTGGGAATGTAATGTCTATTGGCCGGTTCGTCGAAAAGGAAGCAATCTCATTTCAAAACATGTCTTCAATGACCAAGATAATCCTGAAACTAGAGAAGGAGTTTTTTATAAGTATTTGAGAGTAAATCAATTTATTCAATTGATTAGCAATCACCCTAGATTTACACCCGAGATTGTACAATTCAGACAGTTTGATCGATTTCTTTGGCTTCATCAACGATACCCTGAAATATTAAAACGATTGCCACGAATCGACATATCCTTTATAGGTGAGGGACTATCATCACCGGCATTCTTGTTTGATACGCAGTACAACAATATATACCGAGTTTCATATCTTCCAGAGGAATTTGAGTATAATGACAAGTTGTTTTCCGGCATTTCATGCCTTCATGCTAGGTCCCTACCAGAATGGACTACTCAAAACTGGTGTGAAAACATTCAAGAATTAGAATTGGAAACAGGCCCATATGATGGGCTTTGTCGATTATTTCCTAATTTGAGAAGGCTTCGGATGTCACTTAATTACCAAGGGAGTTTAAAGAATCTACCGTTAAGGCTAGAATTTTTATTGGTAGAGTTCGATGGTCCACCTGAAGAATATGATATTTCATCTGACGAATTTGATATTTCATCTGATGACGTTGATATATCATCTGATGACGTTGATATTTCCTATTTAGCGAACTTACGCGAAATTATAGTATGTACCTACTCGAGTAGATTGAGTCATTTCAAATTTCCGCTTGGCGTTAAGAGAGTATTATTGTTGGATCAGTACTACCAAAAATCTCCAGGAGACCCTTGGGATGTCTTGCGCAGTATGGAACTATATTCAAAATTAAAAGAGTATTGGATTGTGCTACGAAGTGATTATTATACAACAAGTATGTTTTCCTACAATAGTTCCTGCCCTCGAAGCTTACAAAAGCTTCAGATAGTGGTAGGGGAGACCATTCTGGTTGATAATTTATCTACTATCGGGGAATTTCTAAAACTTCCAGACAAATTAAGACATTTTGAATTTACTGCACATGACGCTCAGACCTTGCTTGAGAAATTGGTACTTCCTCCATCGTTAAGGGTTTTATCAATTCTGGATTATGCCTACCTGACAGGACGGTGTTCAGAGGAAGATTGGTCTGGTGTGAAATTCCCAGATTCATTAGTTGAATTGAAACTTGATGTGCGCATACCAGAAGGTCTTGATCTTCCCAAATCATTGCATACTTTGAGTATATTTTCGGCGTCTCCGCTTAATTCTTTGAATCTCCTTGATTTAGAAAATTTAGTTCAACTTAAATACGGTTGGGAGCGAATTGGTGAATTTATATATAAGCTACCGCCTAATCTAAAGACTTTGGATCTTTCTGGTGCCAACGGTCTCAATAAAGTCATTATTGAAGCACCGAATTTGCATAGAGTGAACTTAATCTCGACCGGACTTGAATATTTAGACAAGTCCCATTTTAATTTACCCGACTGCGTTGAACTGCTTATACTCGTTGTATCTCGTGGTATAAAGAAAATTGAGACAAACATTTTACCAGCCAGGTTGAGGGAATTATCGGTACCGAAATCGAGAGTAACTTGTGATGTATTGGATCAATTTGAATTTGAAAACCATAAATGTCTAGAGAATTTGGATTTACATGAAAACGAAATCTCTGAATTAAAACCAAACAACTTACCATCGTCATTGAAATGGATTAATCTTGATCGAAATCCGATTTGTTCCTTTTCGACCCCTACAATTTTCTCCGACCTAACAAATCTAAAACACATAAGCATGGTATCGACCAAGATCCATGAATATCTCCAACCAGATGGAAATATGTTATACTTCCCATCAACATTGATCAGTTTGAATTTAGCTGATAACAACCTAGAAGCTGGTATTGCAGCCAAGTTAATATTTCTGTCGTGTATTCAATTACAAGAGTTGAATTTAGTTGGAAATCCGAAAATGACAGATGTTCAAATTGTTATCGACGCTATTAATTCATCGTGCCCAAATATGGTTGAGTTAGTATTGGATGATCTGCTTCGAGAACATGTTAGGGAAGATGGTATTGATTTCCTGTCGTTTTATTTAGTTCGGGATCTGAAGTATTTCATTGGATATGAGAAGAATTATGTACAAAGTTTCTATAGTGTTTACTAATACGATAAGAAGCATTGTTTTGTTTTATATACCTTTTGTTTCAATCAGTGTCAGAAGTGTAGATGTATGGGATGTTTGCATTGGCACGCGCATAAAACTGGCAATTGTCCACTGTATGACCAAGGGACTGTTGTCTAGTTGTATACAATTTCTCGTATATTTCAATAATTCTTAAAATACAGAACTAACCTATAAACTGAGAATTTTGGTACATTTAGAACAATTCCCTTCCTGACAATTTATCCAGATATCCCGTCAAGATAAACCTGTAATTATATTAGCTTTGAAATTCTAAATCACGATGGAATTTTCCCTTAGTGTGTCACTTGCATACTTATACAGTTACCCATCCTTTGTTGGGAAATTCTATTGTCCTGAGATTCACCTTTGTTTTTCTTCACACATGTATAATGTTTCTATAGGGCAGCAATGTGTTGAATTTATACACTGACGGCATTTATTTATTTGAGCTATCCTATGCATATGTATGCTCCAGTCAGCGTAGTAATGCATTGACTTCTCTGTTTACTGTATTTCCTCGCGTATTATTCTATTTTTGTGGTAGAGCTGCAGGCGTTAATAAAATGTCTATTCGTTTATTTTAGACCCATCCCTTGGTCCTTACTTTATTCAAGGACTGCAATATAAATTCAATAATACCGCTCCTGCTTAATCTGAAGTACGCTTGTTTCTTCTCGGTTTAATCCTATAAAATGATTAATCAGCAACCACTAAAACAGGAAGGAATTGGCCCTCAAATGGTCAATCTTCCTCATGAAATAATACAACTCATATTCAGCTTTATACCTGATGCTTATTTAGAAACATATATTGATATCCCATTTATTGGAGAATATGCTGTTGATATAGTTTATCGCTTTATTTCAATCATCGCTTCCCATTGGGAATGTAATGTCTATTGGCCGGTTCGTCGAAAAGGAAGCAATCTCATTTCAAAACATGTCTTCAATGACCAAGATAATCCTGAAACTAGAGAAGGAGTTTTTTATAAGTATTTGAGAGTAAATCAATTTATTCAATTGATTAGCAATCACCCTAGATTTACACCCGACATTGTACAATTCAGACAGTTTGATCGATTTCTTTGGCTCCATCAACGATACCCTGACATATTAAAGCGATTTCCACGAATCGACATATCCTTTATAGGTGAGGGACTATCATCACCGGCATTGTTGTTTGATATGCAGTACAACAATATATACCGAGTTTCATCTCTTCCAGAACAATTCGGGTATAATGACAAGTTGTTTTCCAACATTTCATCCCTTCATACCATGTCTCTACCAAAGTGGGCTGGTCAAAATTGGTGTGAAAACATTCAAGAATTGGAATTGGAATTAGAAAGTGGCCCATATGATGAGCTTTCTCGATTATTTCCTAATTTGAAAAGGCTTGACTTGTTAGATTATTCTGAAAAGAGTTTAAAGAATCTACCGTTAAGCCTAGAATTTTTAATGGTAAAGTTCGATGATTCATCTGAAGAATTTGATATTTCATCTGATGAATTTGATATTTCCTATTTAGCGAACTTACGCGAATTTATAGCACGTACCTACTCGAGTAGATTTAATCTCTTCAAATTTCCACTTGGAGTCGAGAGAGTATTATTGTTGGATGAGTACTTCCAAGAGTCTCCAGGAGACCCTAGGGATGTCTTTCTCAGTATGGAACTATATCCAAATTTAAAAGAGTATGGGATTGTGCTACAAGGTGATTATTATACAACAAGCATGTTTTCCTACAATGCTACCTGCCCTCAAAGTGTACAAAATCTCGAAATAGTGGTAAATAATACCATTGGGGTTCGTGATTTATCTACTATTGGGGAATTTTTAAAACTTCCAGAGAAATTAAGATATTTTCAATTTGCTGCATATGACGCTCAGACCTTGCTTGAGAAGTTGGTGCTTCCCCCATCGTTAAGAGTTTTATCAATTCTGGATTATGCCCTGACAGGACCGTGTTCAGATATGGAAGATTGGTCTGGTGTGAAATTCCCAGATTCTTTAGTACAATTGAACCTTGAGGTGAGTATACCGGAAGGTCTTGTGCTTCCCAAATCATTACATTCTTTGAGTGTATTTTCGGCGTCTTTGTTTACATCTTTGAATCTACTTGAATTTGAAAATTTAGTTCAACTTAAATACAGTTGTTACGAAAGTCTTGAATTTATATATAAACTACCAACTAATCTAAAGACTTTGGATCTATCTTGGGCTGAGAATCTCAATAAAATGATTATTGAAGCACCGAATTTGCATCGAGTGAACTTAGCCTGGACCGGGCTTAAATATTTAGACCCATCCCATTTTCGATTACCCGATTGTGTTGAACTGCTTGCCATAAGGGTAT